ATTGCAACCGCCCCTGCCCTACAGTGCGCCGACCCTCTGTAGCCGCTCTGCGGCTTTATCCCCGCCCCCCCCCCCCCCTCCTTTGTCTCCCTGCAGCCGTGGGGGGGAGGGTCTGGGGGTGGCAGGTGTGGGTCTGATGGGTGGTGTGTTTCCCTTCCCCTCCTCCTACTTTCGTTCCCACTGCTGCAGCTGCCGCTGGGGGGGAGGGTGTGAGGGTGTGGGGGAGCCAAGGGAGTGGCATTGGGGTGGCGGGTGTGAGACCAACCAGCCTCCGTCCCTCTGAGGTGGGGGGGGGGGAGAGGAGAGTAAAGGGGTGGCAGGAGTGCCTGCCCCTTTGCGGCTGTACCTGCTTTGTTACCTTGCCTGCTATTGCTGTTTTCTCTGTCTGTGGTGTACCCCTACAGGTTGTGTTCTGCACAAACTCCTGCTGCAGGCAGTTATGGGGGAGTGTTAGAATATATCAGTAACTGCCTGTAGCTGTAGTTTAGTGTAGTTATTATAAACTGTTGGTGGTGCACCTTCTTTGCATGCTCTGTTTGCTATATGTACCCTAGTGCTATAGTGAACATTCATTCTCCTCTCCCTCCTTGACACAAACTAGCTCGACTCCCCTTGGCCTAGGCCACTAAGCCTAGGCCCTCACTTAAATGTAGTCCTCCACTATTGCTATTATCTCGACACGATGTCGTTGTTGCCAATCGTCGCTGTGAATTCGACGTGACGATGGGCTTTGCGGGGCATGTTCATGCTTGGTGCGGCCCTGTTCTTCTCCATGCCAGGCATTGATTGGGTGGCGCCATCACTGGCTGCGTCTGAGCGCTGTCCCATGTTCTCGTGTTGTGACGGTGTGCCGGACGAGATGATGATCGGCTCATCTGATTGTGCAGGTGCATTTCCAGGTGTCGGTGTTGGTACTGGTCCATTCGACGTTGATTGCTGGCGGGCGGAGTCGCGTTCCGCCATGAGTGCCGCGATTTCGAGTGCCGAATTTTGAGTTGGCGCACGAGCCGGACGAGCCGCTCCTGCGTCAATGTCGCGAGATTGAATTCGGCCATGGCCGGGGTGTCGGGCAAATTCAGCGAGAGCCTCAGTCGTGGCCGTGTGTGCTTTCGAGAGAGCACTTCGAGCGGCGGTGCCAGAACGCTGAGATGCGTCTCCCCCCACCACCCCCCCCCCCCCCCCCGCAAAATTGAGATAGTGGGAAAACGAAGGTGTGGGTGCGAGAATTTTCAGAGAAGATTAGGTTTGATACCAAGTGTTTCGAGTGCAATTGAGTGAGCGAGCAAGAAATGCACTATCGAAGCAAAACAGTACATTGAGCGAAGGGGGTAATGTGTGAAAATGGGGTGGCCTAGTGTTGAGGCTAGGAACTGTCGAGGCAGAGGTCCGGAGCGCGGGTTACTAACCGAACCGTGAGGTTGGGCTGCGTTGTGAACAGTGGTGTTGGGAATATAAACGCATGACTTAGTGCGTTTCTGTAGTATCGAACCTCACCCGATACTGAAGCATAACAAAAGGGGTATGAAGTCGAAAAAGGCGCGTACCACATCAAACCGCAACTGGAGGTTGCGAGCTGTAACCGCCTGGAGGTTACGTAACAGCAAGCGACGCTTCAGTGAACAGTAACCACCTCGATAGTCGAAGCGTTACGCGTCTCGATAAACATAACCGCTTCCTGTAATCTATCCTTCCTATATATTCCTGTATGCTCTTTGCTTTAATCAATTACTTGTTCTCACATACCAGCACAAGTACATTCACTCAAAAGACTTCCGCTGTGCTACTCTAGCACCTACTAGCCTATTCTCTGCAAAGATCCTAAGGCTGAAATCCTCAGCCCAACAAGTGGCAGGAACAGTAGTCGAGGCAAGTGTCGCGATTGGTAACGGTGCACTGTTGGGAGTCGTTGGCGGGAACACTGGTGTACGTGCTGAGCAGGGACGCGAAGGAAAAGGATATTTCCTTACATTGGGACTTCCGTACACTGCGGATATTACTGTACATAAAGCCAACACATATCTCAGTCAGAGTAGTAATACTACCACTCAATTACCTTGCAGATCTACTGGTAAGTCATGGTATACCGTATACTCCCGGACAGGGAAAATTTTTGGATTTGACATACCCTTAAGATCAGTGTACCCCTATCTCAAAAAACTGATTATCAGTGTGACCCCCTATAGAAAAACTTTCCCATCAGGGTATTCTTAACTTTCTAAAAATTTACCCTGTCGCATCAGTGTAAGATTATTGTAAAGCCTGGTCAGTTTTTTTTAATGCTGCACGCAATACAGATCCTACTCATCATCAGACATGCCCCAAGGCTGTTCATCGTGGTCATTGTTGCTGCAGTCAGCCAAGTTTCCAGCCAACCTGGCCTTGTTGTCAAGTCTGACAAACATACCAACTAGCGGAGGTGGCGGTGCCAGCAAGGAAACTGTAACCCTGGCCAATAGTGGCCCTCTGTGTGCCAGCACAGGAGTTGTCAAAGCCGAAATTCCGGCCTCAGTGGCCTTGGTGGAATCCCAGGTTACGGGAAAGTGGGGGTGGGTGAACCGGGGGGAGGGGGGGGGGGGGGGGGTAGGTTACGCGTTACAGGGTAAAACTTGATACGGGATCCGTAAACCCTTGGCCATCAGTGTGCCTTTGAAAAAAAACCTGACACATCAGGGTAAATCAACCTCCCCAAAAAAAAACCCTAGCCCATCAGTGTGACCATAAAAAACCACCCTGATTATCAGGGTATCAGAGTGATTTACACTGATAAAATTAGGCCTGCTCCCGGACAAAACACCCCCCCATAATTGTACACCCCCGGGTAGCTTGTGCAGGGTGGGTGTTATGATACACCTCGTTTCTACTGTTGGAAATCCGAATACAGTATAACGAATACTGTATACCAGTGTGCTGTTTGGTTTTAGTGTAGTCCCCTCTATAAGCCTCCATGATAAGGGGGGGGATTTACTGTTCCCTTTTGAACAGTACTTTCCAACTCACCCTTATCCTTATCCTCCTTGATTTCCTTGTGCCATCTGGCACTCTACTTCTCTTGCTTCTGCTTTTGGTCTCTCACGAAGCACTTTCCATCATTAGATCATGCATGCTATATCAAGCTTGCTTGTATTGCCTAAAATCCATCAAATTCTCAATCCGTTTCCAGTGCAAGAGTTCTATCTTGTTCTTTCTACAAACACGTTTCCTCTACGCTGGCACTATGCCTTTCTAGCATCTACTACCCCCCTTTTTGGCTGATTTTCTATAACACCCCCCTTTTCTTACGGATTCATTATTATAGTCGTTAACGAGTAGCTGCAATACGGAAGAATATCGTGTGAATTTCTCCCTCGATGAAATTTCGCGGTACATTCAAAGGCAATCTGCCGAGATTTGCCCCTCCCACTATTTCTCTGTCGCCACGTGCAGGTGAATCTTCCGTTGCAAGTGGCAAGAGAGGTGCCACATGCCATTTTCGTGGGGGCGATGAAGTTCGAGGCCGAAACTCACATTCGCGCCTCAGGCAGTGATGCTAAAACGACCAGCAAAACACCCACATTGACTAATTAAAAAAACACTAACACTAAAATATGCCATATGTAAAGACCCGGGTATTATGCATTTTTTTCCTATGAGGAGACCCCCCCCATTTTTTCCCTGTATTTTTAGCTATACCCTAGGGTGCTATGTCCGGGAGGATACGGTACATACTGGCGACCACAAAATCAAGTTAAAGAAACAAAAGCAATGCTTGCAAATTTGCTACTGTACCTTGTGATTGGCATGACAACCAAGATCAGCTAAAGGATTAAACCAGAGCCCCTCATCAATTGTTATATCTAAGTCAAACAAAGATCCGTTGGCATCTTCTGTAGCGTTGCTCCCCACAGGAGACGACTCACTAATATTCCCCACCTCTTTGTCGCCACCATTATTGCAGCCCCCAAAAATATCTTCTAGAATTTCATTAGCCGAGGGAAAGATGCCACCTTGAGCAGCTGTAAGACCAGGTTCTCTAGCAGCTTCAACTGAATCGCTCTGAAGCGAGGATAGATGAGCCATTGCATTTGATGGTAGAGCTGATTCGTTAGCGGGAACGGAGGTGTAAGCAAGCCGAGCATGCTCACTTGAAAATCCCACTGCAGCACTCGAGACATGCAGAAATGGTGCAGCAGCCTCCACTGGTGGTAACTCTGTAACCATATCAACAGCCGAAACCACATTGTAACTTCTGCTGTCCAGGTGGCGACGGTCCTGCTCCAGGTGGTTACCAGGAATCTCAGCCGTAACATTTGGCAGAGCATGAAATTTCTGAGTAACCTGAAAAGCATGGCCTGATGCTTGGGGAACAGATGAAGGTTGAAAGCAGGTGGGCGGTTTCATGTTTGCTGGTCTTTGAGAATTCTCGAAGGCTTGACTCGCTGAAAAAGCCAGAGAAGCGCTTTGACAACCGGAGAGCTTCGGCAAGGCTGGTTCTCCTTGAGAGTTCCCAAACGCAGGCTCCCTTGCTAAACACAGAGATGCCATAAGCAGTGGTTGGGAACAGGAGGGCGGAGGCAGGCTCATGTGCTGAGCCGCTGCTGTGAGCACGCCGTCTGGTGCTACCAGTGCTGCCTCTGCCGCCGCCGCCGCCACCGCCACCGCTGCTGCTGGGGCTGTGATTTGAAATGTCTCAAAACGTTCCACCGTTTCTTGCGTTGCATCGGTGGGCGTGGAAAGGTGAGGGGGCACTCCGAGATTTGCTTCACCACAGCTGCAGCTGCAGCAGCAGTGGGCGGGCTTCGTTGCAGGCACGGGTACTGGCTGGCTCGGTGCAGGTGCGCACGGGGAAGGTGCATATGGTGCGGGTGTATACGAGGCAGATGCATATGCAGGGGGTGAATATGGCAGGGTAGCAGCATCGCAAGCATGGGGAAGTGGTGGATGAATTGGTGGTGGTGGCTGGAGGAAAGGCTGAGACGAAGGTGAGAAGGTTGGTGGCGGCTGTACTGGGAGAGATGGAGGAGATGATTGAAAGGATAGATGCTGCTGCTGTGGTGGTTGTGGCATTTGAGGCGTCTCAGAAGCTGGAGGAAGGGGAGGTAAGGGAAGGGTTTGCTGATGCTGTTGCTGTTGCTGCTGCTGCTGCTGCTGCTGCTGCTGCTGCTGCTGCTGCTGCTGCTGCTGCTGCTGCTGCTGCTGCTGCTGCTGCTGCTGCTGCTGCTGCTGCTGCTGCTGCTGCTGCTGCTGCTGCTGCTGCTGCTGCTGCTGCTGCTGCTGCTGCTGCTGCTGCTGCTGCTGCTGCTGCTGCTGCTGCTGCTGCTGCTGCTGCTGCTGCTGCTGCTGCTGCTGCTGCTGCTGCTGCTGCTGCTGCTGCTGCTGCTGCTGCTGCTGCTGCTGCTGCTGCTGCTGCTGCTGCTGCTGCTGCTGCTGCTGCTGCTGCTGCTGCTGCTGCTGCTGCTGCTGCTGCTGCTGCTGCTGCGGCTGCTGGAGCTGTTGCTGCTGCTGGAGCTGTTGCTGCTGCTGCTGCTGCTGCTGCTGCTGCTGCTGCTGCTGCTGCTGCTGCTGCTGCTGCTGCTGCTGCTGCTGCTGCTGCTGCTGCTGCTGCTGCTGCTGCTGTTGCTGCTGTTGCTGCTGCTGTTGCTGGGATGGTAGATGAGCCTGGTAAGGTGGTTGGAACCCTTGTTGCAGGTGCTCATGCTGGTGCTGATGTTGATGCTGCTGATAGGCCTGGTAACGTGGTTGAAGTTGCTGCTGCTGCTGCTGAGCATGGTAAGGTGGCTTGAACGGATGCTGCTGCTGCAGCTGTAGCAGGGAAGGGTACTGAGCTTGGTAAGTTGGCTTGTACTGATGCAACCCTGATTCCAAACATTGTGAGGTGCAGGAACAAACTGCAGAGGTGGTGAGATCAGGGCAGGGAAGAGCAGAAGTGGGTGAGTGAGGAAGAGCTGAGTGAAGAGGAGAATGGTGGTGTGGATGAGGCTGTTTAGAGGTTGCTTGTTTAGGGGATGACTGGGGAGATGAGAGGACAGCAGATGCTGAAGCAGCCGGCTGCTGAGGAGAAGCAGGCTTTGGGATAGGAGGAATAAAAATCTCTGCTTGAACAGGAATGTAGGCTGCTGTTGGTGCTGGTGGTGGCAATTCTACCGGCGTGGCGGCTTCTTCGAAACACTGAGGAGCTGCGGGGAAAGGCTTAGCTTCGAAACCCGGTGATTCGGACTCGGATGGCGCAGCAGGAGAGCGAGAGCTTGAACGATGGTGTGGCTCCATTTGGTTTTGAGTCTGTATGCATTGGCTGGATTGCTGTTGCTCAGGCTTAGTCTGGTGCTGAGATTGCTGGCTATATGTAGTATACAGCTGCTGCTGTCCATCGTCACTTCTGCAATACTGTCCGGGAGGAGGGACACCAGAAAATGCCAATGAAGCGGAGGAGTTAGGAAGTTTAGATATTATTTTGGATGGAGCGATTTTACGGTTTTGGTTGGAAATGTAGGTGTAGGGATTTTGCTTGCTGTCAGTGTAGTTGCTTGGCCGGTAACCAGCAACTCCGGAGGTATCAGAATCATCGTCAGGAGTGTCGCCAGCCACAGCTCTCGTCTTCGTGCTCGAAACATTCGCAGCTGCGACAGTCTTAGCGAGCGCCATCGCAACCATCGGAAGTTTCCGAAACCCGTGGTTCGGCTTGCGACGGGAAACAGGGGTCACTCCTTTATCGCTGTGCCCCAAAAAACTTGTCGACACACCAGTCGCCGGATTCGCCCGTAACAGACCACCCGTTTCGCTAACACTTGATTCCGGGGCAGCAGAAACGCCGGCGGTGGGAGTCGTGGGGAAAGCTGACGAGGGGTTGTGCCGCGGCGGGCTGTGATTGTGTTCGCCGGTGAACGAAACATGGAAACTCGCCGGTTGCGTGTCGACTCGCCAATCGACGGTTCGTTTCGCACGGCAAGGCTCTGCTCCTGCCAAGCCCGAACCCGCGCAGCGGAAGTATGACCTGATGGATTGAATCAAGGGAGGCATTCAGTACACCTGAGATGATTGTTGGTAAATTTCCAGAGAATGAAATAATCAACATATTTTGGCATGATTGCAGACTGGGCACTTACCGCAGGCAATTGGGCTGGTTCATGAGCGGTTTCTCGCCATATTTTAGCCAGGAATAACCATCCTCTGGTAGACAAGTTGGCACGAGTGCAGCACGCAGCTTTTTTCCCTCGGCTTGACGAATCGCCTCGCTAGTGGTGGAACTATCTCCGCCGCTGCTTCCGCCGCCTTTCGGGGACCGTCGGCCCGCGCCGCAATACCTTGTGTTGCTTCCTCTTCCGGTGCACGAGCTATAGTACGATGCAGAGAAATGGGGAGAAGTGCGATGACGTGGCGATTTTGGCTTCACTGTGCCTAAGTTAGTCGCGCCGTCAATCGCGCCAGGACGAGCCGTGTCGCCACGAACTGCCGGCACAGAATTCGACGCTTTGCTAGAAAGGTCCGTGTGATTCTCCGTTTTATCTTCATCTAAGTTTTTCCGCTTCATTCTTAACACAGTTGCCGTCATCGGCGCCGCTGGCGCAGGATACGGCGCAGTCATCGGTAAAGACCACTGCGTCGCGAGTGCCGACGTCTCCTAAGTCGCATTTCTCGTGTTAGACGTTTCTTGATGAAGATTACTATGGGTCAGACTACGACGCCACTACCTGGGTGATCGAGGCACTGTTTGTAAGTGGTATGGAGAAACTATGGTTGCTAGGACAATCATGGTCAAGTTTGTGCACATGTTGCTCGGCTTATGAGTGGTTCAGTTTGATTGAAAAAGCATGAACGACATCTGCCACTTGTTACCGCTTTAGACCGCGTTTTACCAAAGAAAAGTGTGCTGGAGCAGTGGATAGATGAAGAGGGGTGCTGCACGCATAGATAAAGGCGAAGCAAAGTACTGTACAGAGCTACGTGTAATCTTGGAAACAAATGGCAAGGACAGCAAGGCCAGGGCAGCCGGAAGGGGCGGGGGATCTCAATCAAGCTGCTAACGTTGCATCAGTACCATCAGGCACTGGCTCTGGCTGCGCTGTGCCAAACAATCACTCATCAGCTTTGTTGCTGTTGTTGAAAATGCGGTGGTCATCTCGTCGTGTCATGTCAGGATTGTCCTTGCCAGCCGTATGCAAGACTGTACGTACCGGCGGCTGTACGTACCGGCGGTTTAGTTGGGCTGGCTGCTTTCATTCGGCTGGGTTCGGCAAATCATCATGAGCAGCCAATGACACAACCCCATTGCTGCTGACACAAAACACAAATTTGTAAACCCAACAACGGGGAGGAATAAAATTCGCGAACTCAAAATACGGGCGTCATGGCAGCAGTCGACGGTTTCTTCATAAATTACACCACACGATGCTTCCAATCCGTTTCCAGTCTAGAACTGCAGAACAGCAGAGAGTTCCCGTCGACATCCCTCCACAGCAGCCACAACAAGGGAAATGCACCTGACTCGCGGGAATTTTACCAGCGGACAGTATCCTCGGCCATCGCCTGACGAAGGACAGCGCACTACCGTACAATACAAGCAGTGCGTTTTCCATTCTTGTTGTCCGTTACGACCGGCGTGACAAGGAACCACGTGCGAAAAGAAACGCGTGAAAATGTTTTGTCCTGGCTGACAATGGGAGGAAGCAGAAAACCACTTTGGAAACCCCTGAAAAATCAACAGCTACTTCCACTGTAAGTGTCGGAAACTTGCAAGTCAGGAAAGCTGAGTATGGGAGGGTAGAGTGTAGAGGGTATCATTTTGCATTGTATTGTAGGTTCAGGTTCTGGGGGTACAATGTAACCGCGTCTGGTTTTTTCAAAAGGTTTATAAATGCTCACCCGCTCAAAAACATCCGTTCAAACCTTCCACCATGCCGCCCCTTCAACGAACTAGGTCACTAGCGTCCATCTTGAACGACCACTGTAGGAAATAATGAGCTGTGTAGAGTACAGCTTAATATTTCCTAAAATTTTAGGGCTGAGACTCCCTCGGATGGCATGGATTGCGATTGGGGGGGGGGGGGGGGGGGGGGGGGGGGGGGTTTCTTGCCCACTGACTCATTGCACTGCCTGCTGACGCAGACAGTGCAATATATATTCCAAAACAGATCAACTACGTACAGCTCGGGGCTTCCACATGAAAGGCCCGATTTTTTTTCGTACAGCCCTGGGTTCGTTGTTTTGCTGGCGTACCCCACGTGAGGACACGGTGCCCCGGGTTACGGACCATTTTTCCTTGAGCAAACATGACTGTGGTTGGGTCCAGAATTCGCATCGCATCGCAACCACAAGTGAGGTTCTCAATCAGACAGAATCTGTGAGTGTGTCATTTGCCAAGAAAGGAGCCTACCAGGCCTGTCGCTTGCAGGGCGTTTGCCCTGCTGGACCTTGAATTCCAGGGCTGGGTTGCCCTTCAATTCTGAAATTGGTGGGCTGGAAATTTTCTGGCCCTGATTCCTTACAGGGCTCAATCAGGGCTTAGGTCTGGAGTATAAGGGTAGATTTTATTCGAGCCCTGGAACAAAATCTTTCGAGTCCCCCCCCCCCCCCCCCCCCCCCACCCAAACTCCTCCATAGCCCCCCCCCCCTCCCTACCCCGCGTTTCAATCTTGATTGGATCCATCCAATCCAATCCAACCAATTTGGCAAACTTGGAGTTGCGTGATTGGATCACTCACAATTCAGCTCAACATAGAACTTGTGTTTGTGCCAATCCAATCACATCCTCGCTCCCTTGCCACAACACACAGACAGAAGCATGAATCGGAATTACTGCAGCAACGGACATCTCATATCCCCGTCGTGCAGTGCCTTAGCAAGCACGCACCAGCCCAGCAGCAGAAAAACACGTCAGATCCCCCTCGTGCAGTGCGCTTCGTACTGCACGACGGTACGACGACGAGACGAGGAGAAAGAGAGGACGTGCCACGCCACGCCAAGCCAACCTTCCCTCCGTCACCTTCCTCCTCTAATCTCGTACTCCATCCATCAATCCCTTCATCACCAAAAAGTTGAGGTCCTAAAACTATACCTTCAAAAGTGCAATCCCGGAAGTCTCTATCGGGTGTCTTAGAACTGTCCCAAAGGTGTCTCCTGTCCCCAAAGGGACAATCGGGACAGTCTACAGTACTTCCCGAAACTCTCCCATCCCAAATTTGCCCCTACAGGTTCCGCAATTTTAGGAATTTTGTCTTAAAGCCCGCGTCTCAAATTGCGGGCCGCGAGGGTCAAGTTTTTAAAACTTGACGAAGTTGAGTGTCCAGGCTTTTGAAAGTCACGCACTTGCAATTTGGGACTTCCGAAGACAGTTTCGCTCACCAGGGGGAAAACCGAGGGTTGGCTGGGTCTCGCGAAAAAAAGGAACCTAGACGAAATCGGAAACTCTCGCCAAAGCCCACACCAGAAAACTCCCTCTGGTCAACTTTTAAAAGCATGAGCAATTTGGGCCGCCGGCTTTAAACCCGTCAAACACGTTTGAAGTGTCCTAGTGGTTGCGAAAGTTCGCAGACCGAAAGCATCGAGGTTTGGATCCTGTTTTCGTCGCGAAGCAGTTGCAAACGTTTTTTGCTCGCAAATGTGTCGACTCTAGTTGACCCACTACTACAGATAGTGCTAGTTGGCTACAACAATGTACAGCTAGATATCGTACCAATATATGTTTAGAGCGAAATTATTTTTTTATGAAATGGAATTCTATGATTTTGCTCATACGAACGGTTTTGAATTTTAATTAATATATCAATACAATAGAATTTTTGTAACATTATCGAAAATAGTATTGCAAACAAATCATTTTCTTCAATTTACATGCCATTCAGTTAGGTCAGTTTCCTGAATTTCTTTATATCAAGTACAATTACAGGAAGCAATTCCGGTCGCCATTCCCCCCACTCCCCACGAACCCCCCCCCCCCCCTCCCCCCCCAACCCCCCGCCCTCTCACAAACAATCAAATCGATCGAGGGGGG